GGGCCAATACCCCCCCACCCCCCCCCCCCCTCTGGGTACGACCCTCTAGCCAATTTGCCACCCACCGGACTGTGTAATCATCCAAGTCACAGCCTCGTAACTTGTTCACCAGTATGGGGTGGGATACCGTATTGAAGGCCTTCCTGAAGTCTAAGTAGACAATGTCAACCCCTACTCCTGCGTCCAGGTGTTTTGTAACCTGGTCATAAAAAGAGACTAGATTAGTCAGGCATGATCTACCTGCTACAAACCCGTGCTGGTTTCTCCTCAGCATAATTTTTCCTGCTGGGCTCTCGCATATATGATCAGAAGTGGGGAGGGGGCGGAGATGGAGCGCCCCCACCTACCACTCTGCACCGCTGCCATCTCCCAGGAGCAGGGTGGTGGGGGACCTTGCCCTGCCATCCCCTCGGCCAGCACCCCGTGCCGCCACTGCCTGCTCTGGCCACTCAGTTGCCGCCTCCTGTCTGGAACACTCTTGGAGCACTCTGATTGGTTTTTTCAGACAACCAGAGTGCGAATAAAGTGTTATGGACAGACAGACTAAGGCTATTAGAATATTTATGCTAAGGCTTGAGCCTTCCTTAGTGATATGACAAGAAGTGTTTTCATTGAGTTCACCATTGGGAGGGGTATCCGTTTAGGATAGAGGCACTTACATTTCTGGCCCTGTGGGCTGGATGAATGGTGATGGGCTGGTACACAGGCCTGATCCAAGATGAGGTTGGTCTGCAGGTGCAAGCCGTCTTCCTATGCACCAGCCCCACCTCTCACCGGTGTGTTCTATGGCCATGTCATCCAGCCCCCAGGGCCCTCCATGGGTCCAGAAATTTGGCAGCAGGGGAGCAGCAATTAATGCTTCCAAGCCACCAAATTTCTGGATTTGTGGGGAGACCCACAGGACAGATGGCATGGCCTTGCAGGCTGCATCTGGCTGATGGACCAGAGGTTGATCACCACTGCTTTAGGAGATCAGCTGAGTTTAGAACAGTTGCTTTGGTTGTACATAGTTGCAAGTTAAAGCATAAACTTTTGCTTGGTACGTAGAAAAATATAGTGATTTTTTATGTATTAAATATGTATTTTTTAAACTGTGGACAGAATTGAGTTTGAAGAATGTGAATGATCTAGCTTCTCATGACTTGATCAAGATGGATGAAAAACTGAATTTCAGACCAACAGGTAACCTTTATTTTTTGAAGTAATTTTGACTAAGGGCTATTGAGTCAATATTGAAAAATCTTTTTTTTACCTTATAAGATTTTAAAAATATATATTAGATGTTGCAGTTCTCATAAGAAATTCTTATAGATGCAGCAGTTAGATAATGAGAAGAAAATCATATATTTGTACTTGGGAACACCTTTGTGTATCTCCATTGGAAGTAGGACATATAGCTGAGGGCAGGATCTGGCCCAGAATGAATATATTTTTTAGATGAAGTTTATTGATCAAATGAAAGAAGTTTTATTTTCCCCATGTGAAAACCTGTGTAAATCCCTTGCACTGATGTCACTGGAAATTTGGTTGCAGATCAAGAGAAAGTATATCTGTCACTAAGACCCTACCATAAGAAAATTTAAAAAATGCAGTTCTGTTGCTTAAAAGGCAGGAACACTGTATCTCATTAAAAAAAACAAATGAGCTAAAAAAATCTAATATCTTTCTTCTACAGAAAATGGAAGACTAATGGCTTGGTACTATATTGCATTTGATACAGTGAAACAGTTTTCTACAATTAAAGGAACAGAGACTTTATCCGAACTGGTAATTTAATGTTTCTGTGAAAGTTTGTGTGTGTCCAGTTTAAAACAGAATTAAATATACGGTTCATTTGGTTTTCTAGTTACTCCAAGTTCAGTTTTTTTCTGATGTGTAAGTTTCATAAAGTGTATCAAAATGAATCACAATATTAAAGTTTTTGTGTGTGTTATCCTCTGAGATCTTTCAATTCTTATTGTTTTCTTCCATCAATAATGTTGCATTATTTCATCTAATCTCTGGATGCAAGTTGCTGAATTGATTTTGATTCCTATACATTTCCCTGTCTTCTATTATTTTTACTAGTAAGAAAAATTGCATGAAAATAAGATTTATTTTAAAGAAAACATCTACTTTATTTGTTTCTGATCTCTGTTATTAACCTCTCTTTATTTTATTGCCATTGTTTGTTCTAAAGTTTATAAAGTCACAAAGGAGTTTCTGATTTCAAGTGAAGAATAAGCATGTACAAATTATTTGTTAAGTAAAGTTCCTGTTTTCACACAGCTATCTTCACTACTAAAATGAGGAAAGCAAGTAATGGAAATATGTGAGGCACGCAACAAAAATTGTTACTATGTAGATTACATTTCATAAAGTGTCAACAGCTTGATAAATCTTAGATAAACCCAAACGGAATAATTGTCTTTCAACAGTTAAAGCAATATTTTCACTTTGCATGTCACTTAATGCCTGAGTATAAAAACCAAAAAAATGACGACTACAATCAGCAAGGACTGTTTGATGATCTTTTAATTGTAATAGTACAAGGGCAAATGGAAATAATTTAATAGTGCTAAAAGAAATTGGAAGAAATAATGGGGGGAAAGGGGAAAGCGATAATGAACTAATAAAAACAATTACAATTGTTTCAGGTCACAAAGATATCTAGCTGCACTGAATTTTCAGATATCAAGTTAAGAACAAGTGAAAAGAAAATACTGAATGCTTTGAATAAGGACAAGAACAGGATAACTATCAGGTCCTCAAACTAAGTGTATTAGTGTTAAAAAAAGTTTTTTGGGGTTTTTTTTTATTATTCTTTGTTATTCATTTTAACTATTTTCATGTACAGGTTTCCAAAGGAAGGGAAGATAAAAACAACAGAAATGAAAGTAAACTGGTAAAAATGTAATTGTGTTACATCTCATTGTCTTGAAAGCAAATGTTCTGATCCTGCAGGCATTTAAATCATTGGTAAAACCGTTAACTTCATATGTGCAAGATCAGACCCTATATAAAATATTATTGCTTTTATCTTGAACTGGACTTCATTTTTTCATTGGAATCATTGGCTGTTATTATATTATCTTTTATTTATTAAGATTAAATGTATATTAATACATTTTTCTTTTTCAGTCTTATTCAGGCTCAGCTAGGATGCATTCCTATTCAAGACTTTACTTTGACGCAAGATATAGGCAAAATTTTCAGAAATGGCATAAGAGTTACTAAATGTATGGTAAAATGTATTTCCTTTTTTAGTATATTTAATAGTATGTTGTATTATATTTTATTAATATTTTTTTCTTTATAGGGTTGTCTGACTTTCTGGCATCACAGAGAAACAGCTTTTCTGCACTATTAAACTCCTTAATTTTAGCTAAGTGTTTCAGATGCAAACTGTGGGAAAACTCACTGCATGTTTCCAAACAGCTGGAAAAAATTGGTAGGTCGCTAGGGCCGCTAGTGTGTAAAAGGTGATACTAACTTCACTGTAAACTTTAGAATGTCTGTTTTGAGAACTAAGTAAGTCTTCCAGCTTTTCATTTGCTAAAATCATGGTTTCTTTGCAACAGTATAAAGACATTTGACAATTAGCTGAATCTATTCAGAATCAGTAAATTCTTATGGATTATTAACCAGGAGCTGCCTGGTACCTTGAGGTATGTAGAAAAAATTGTCTTGAAACAAGAATCAAAATATGTGGCATCAATACTCAGTGAACATTTCTCAGAAACTATTCCATGTAAGGTTCAGGTACTGTAGTTTTAAAATTCAATTTTACCTAACTCTACTCTTGGCAAAAACATAAGATTAGACCTTTAAAATATTGGTAACCTATGCAAGAAGAGACTTTAGTAAAAATCCAACTTCTACTGCTTTATTAATGACAAAAGATCCTGCCCTATTAGCTTAATGTTTTGCTCAGCAGTATACTTTTTTTTTCATTAGAAATCTATACATTTGGGCCAGTTTCTTGGATAACATATTTATGATGGGTATCTGAGACAGGTTTTAAGCTATTATTAGATAGATAAAAAACTTAAGAAATAAGCTGCAGAGGAAATACAGAACAAGTACTGCCATTTATTTAGCCTTTCTGACTGTATTTGTAGCTGATCTCTGGTTCTTTATGAGAGATAAGAAGTGCAACAGTGAATAGTGGCTTGTAGAAGTGTATCCCTTAACACCTCATCTGTTAAGTCCCTTGCATTCCCTAACAGCACAATATTTAATAAGCATAGTGCTATAATTTAATATTTAAAATGTTTTAAAAATTGTTAGATATCTTATATTGAATTCAATAAGCTTCAGTCAAATCCATGCATTTTCTATGTTTGATTTTGAGCCCATTGCCTAGAATTGCAGTCCTTGGACTTCCATCACATGCAAATACAGACTTGAAGTGATCACAGATCTGGTATTTTGACATGTCAGTCTAAAAAGTTGCTAAATTCTGCTGAGGTGGTCAGGTCTCCCAAGGAAAAATAAAAACATTTAAATTTGATTCTCACATATGGAAGATCATTCATATGGTGTGATAGCTTTTTTGCTCTGATACGCTTCTGTCAGCTTCTATGCTTCTTTATCATTTAATTCATATCAGTACAGAAGGTGGGGCAGGGTGGCCACTTAGGGTGCCTAGAGAAGTGCAGGACGCCTGCTCCTATGCACTGTAATTACAGTGCCTTGGAGCAGACTCAGTTACTTGAGTCTGCTGGAGCATACTAATTAGCACGCTCCAGCAGCCTCAACGCCTTATGTATTCAGTGTCCCTGAATTTCAGAATGGTGTCAGGGGTGCTGTAACTAAAGCTTGTTGAAAGAGCTTTAGTTAAATTCCCCCACTGCTGTTTTGAAACTCGGGGCACTGAATACACAAGATGCTGCAAGCACTTTAATTAGAGCGGCTCCTGAGAGCTGGTCTAATTAAAGTGCCTCCCAGGGCATATAAAGATGCCCTGATAGACTAATTTGCTCAGGAAGACGCCACTCTGCCCTATCTTCTGCCTACGTCAGACTAAAACAGCTAACTACCTCTCTCTGTTCATATCACTGTTTATTTGTGTTGAAGAATGCAACTTGTGCTCTCTCTCTTTTTTTTTAAAGACAGTAATTCTAAGTAACTTTGGGTGTAGGTCTTGATGTTCAGTTTACTAAAAGGGGCCTTTACAATCCATTAGCATTATAAATGATAGGAGCTTTGCAGTGTAACTTTACAGGAGCCTTTATTCAAATGAGTATCTGTTCCACATTCTTTCCAGAAATTTCCCTCTAACTAAAGCAGTGTTTATTTACATACATTTCACCGTACTCCCAGCGTCTCTGAAAATTCATTTTTATTCAGGGGATATACATATAAGAAGTGCTTGTTTGCCTATCATTTTCTTATAGCTTCTTAAAGCTTTCTATGATATTTTATTCTGAGCTGTTTCAGTCCTCTTGTTCTGTATTTTTAATAAGGGCTCACAGTGCTTTTCTTGTGTTCATGTATACTTTTACTGGTTATTTGGGTCATCTATCTGGGTGGCATCAAGCAGAGCATATGCTCTTAACAGCATGTCTGAAGTTACTAGATGATGTCCTGGAAGGAACTACAGGGTCATATTATTCTTTTGTACTTCAGAAGTAACCATGCATTCTCCATGTCACATCTCTAAGTCCTTTCTTTTATATTGCATTCAGTGAATAAAGGTCAGCTTCCGCTTTTCAGCTACAGCCCTACTAAAAATCATGATATCTTGTACTGCCTCATAAAAGGCCAATATAGTTTGCTCTTTTAATTTGCTCTTGCATTTTTTCTGCTGCTCTCATAATTCTTGCTGCAGATATTACAGGACACCATCTATTTATGCCTCTAAAGCAGTATAACTTTCAGGCTCCTTTGAAGTATGTGAGGATGGTTTGATCTGTTTCAGTGGGTCAAGCAGTTGTCAAACTGGTGCTGGTGTCAGTACATCCTTCAGATTCTTGTATTCTTTTATGCTGTAGCAGCAAAGCTCATTCTGTAACTTCGTGAAGTTTGGTGAGTTTAAGTTACATAGGTATGAATTTACTGATGCAGTTCAATCTGATTTGCAGCCTCTGAATTTTCTTTTATTTCCATCTATGTATGTTGCTGTTTGAATTTTAGAAACATTAAGCTGGATGGCCAGTTTCTCTCCTAAGGGGGTTATTTATTCATTTACTTTGATTGACATTTGGCTTTGTTCATTTTGGCTAGGTGTACAACCAGTCAAAAAGCCCAAGGGTGAATCGATTCAGTTTTTGCAGGTTAGTCTAAGATGCACAGATTAAATTGAAACAGAAGTGAACAGACATTTACCTTTTACTGCGGTGGCTCAGGTACTAGAGCATGGCTCTCTGGCTGTGTTCACTTCCTTTTCTGCTGCCCCTGAGGTCTCTGGGATCTGTAGTCCAGAATTACAGCAGCAGGACTCTGCAGGGTTGCTCATCACATCCTCTTCCTGTTTCCAGGTGCCTCTGGGATTTGTAGTCCACAGTTGCAGCCAGCAGTAAGTTTGAGCAGAGGAAGGGGTGTTTAGCCCCCCTCCCTGGCCCCAGACCCCAACCAGGGTTTGCCTGGGGGGGGGGTAATTCCCCTCCTCTCCCCCCTGCAGACTGGGCTGCATCCCCAGCAAGGCTCCCCACCCCCAGTCAGCTAGCTCTTACTGCTCCAGCTAGGGACCAGGGGGGTGGGGCCAGCCCTGCTCTCTGAAGCAGATAGCCCAGCCCAGGGTTGCAGACCATGCTGGCATGCCAGGGGATTATGATTTAACTTGAACCAGGAAGGGGTCTGGGACAAGTTTCATAAACTGGTTTGACCCAAATCAGTTAAGTCTAATACTAGATTCAAACAGGTTTATCTTAAACCAGTTTCAGCCATTTTTAAACTGGTTTATGTGCACTAAGCTTCTGTTCTGTTACAGATTTAAACCAGTTTCTGATCATTTAAACTGGTTTATGCGTAACTTTTGTCCCTAGCCTTTAAGGCGGTGTCTTGTCCAATCACTGACCAAAATTGCCTCTGATGTTCAGTAGAGATGCTGCCTCTTGTTGTCATACCAGATGTTGGATTTCTCTTCTTTTGTTCTGACAGGGAGGATGATAAGCAGTCACTATCCAGGATTTATTTTCCTTCCGTATTCAGTTTCTCTTGACCAGAGAGAGAAAGCTAAAGAAAAAGGAAGAAAACTCATGCATTCAGCTGTCTCTCCTGCAAAATTACTGTTTCCTTCCTTCACTGACAGAAAATCATCTTCCATTTCAATAGAGCAAGGCATTAGTTAAACAATTTTAGGCACTGGGACAAGTAGAGCTAAATA